TTGGTGCAAATATATTAACTCTTCAAAACTATGCAATTATGATGTTATTAAAAGTTAACAGGATTTCCTCCTATCATTATTTTGGTCACCTTTTGCTGCCTTATCCAACATTTATGATTAACCTATTATTCTTATATTCTGCATTGATTCCTTTCAATAGCTATTATTAGCATTTAATTTTCTCTAGCTAATTTTTTTTAATTAATTCATGGCAATGCTTAACATAAATAATTATGGCATGAATCACTGGATGTTCTTGAATGCTATGTGCACTGATGCTGTTTATTAGGGGATAGAACTTGTTGCGGGCTAGAAGATACGAGACGATAGAGTTAAAATTCTGAGTCTTAGCGTTGTACGAATATCCAGCTCACACACAGAGAACACAAGATGTTTTTACATGGAAAACCCTGGAAAGGGGAAAAACCACAGGGTCTGGCCCAGTCTGAAATGATTCCACTAGTGATTGGGTAGATTACAATGGACTGACTCATCCCTGAGGGCACTTAGATTACAAATGTCAACCGTTTAGTCGAAATCTAGTGGCAAACGGGGATGAAATTACAGCGTCACTTGGTGGACTGGCAGAAGGTTCATGCTACTTGAAAATTCAGGAGTCAGTTGGTCGCCTGGCATTGGTTTGGCGGAACTTCAGCGTCGGGCGATAGTCCGGAAGAAGTCCAAAGTCAGATGGTGGTCTAGTAGAACTTCGGGACTTAGGTGGTGATCTGGCGGAACTTTGGGTCTACTCCGGGTGTCAAGTGGCGGTCTAGTAGAACTCTAGGCCTCAGGTGGAGGTCCGGTAGAACTTCGGGCCTTAGGTGGTGGTCTGGCGGAACTCTAGGCCTCAGGTGATGGTCAGGCAGAAGTTTGAGCCTCAGGTGGTGGTCCGGCGGAGCTCAGGGCCTCAAGTGGTGGTCTGATAGAGGTGAGGGCCTTAAGTTGTGGTCCGGCGGAGCTCAATGCCTCAAGTGGTGGTCTGACGGAGCTCAGGGCCTCAAGTGGTGGTCTGGTGGAGGTCAGGGCCTCAAGTGGTGGTCCAGTGGAGCTCAAGGGCTCAAGTGGCGATTCGACGGAGCTCAAGGCCTCAAGTGGTGGTCCGGCGAAGGTGAGGATCTCAAGTGGTGGTCCGGCAGAGCAACGACGTCAGGCGGTGGTCCGGCGGAACTCAGGCAGTTGTTGAGGAAGAGCAAGGAGGCAAGAGTGATCTCCGATCTCTCTCTTGAATCATTTGGCTTGGGGGTCCCTTTTCAAGAGAAAATGGGGCTCTATCTATAGATTTTTTGAGTGGCATGGCCTGTAAATAGGTGGGAGATCAAGGGAAAATGGGGAGTGGTTGGATGGACGGCTGATGTTGAATCCCTTGATCATGGCCGTTTGATGGACATTTGAATGTCTTAGTGCTGTAGGAATTCAGTGATCTTGGGCTCGTTGGATTCGTCTTGTCGAGCCTCTCGATTCGACTATAAGCGCGTTATGTTTGGAAACCGTTTAGTAATCCAAATTGTGATTCGAACCTTCCAACAACGCTTCTAACCCTTGATTTGGACCCATTTGGGCTCGAATTGGGTTGGATTTGGTATCGTTGGGTTCGTATTCACGAGACGTTCAGTTTGACTGTAAGTTTGCTGAAATCGGAGTTCAAATGGTCCCAACTTTAATTTCGGAAGGTTCCAACTTGATTTTGCATCGAGATTCGTGCCCGATCAAGATAATGTTTTGATGGCGTATCAGAACTCATGAGAACTCAAATTTAAACAGAGATAGTTCTGTTGATGATAATTTGTTTACATGTCAAATAAATTATTATTTTACTCAATCATACATTCATAATAAGTAAATTTAACATATAATTTTTTTATATTGTTGTATAACAGATGTATCCTCTTGTTTGATTGTTTTGCAATATTGGGCTCCCTTAGGTTTGAAGTGTATTTGCATGCAAATAAAAGAATATGTATCGCTATGGTAATAGTTCAATTATCCTTTATTATATATGAATTTTTTTCGTATATTAGAGAGATATTTAGGCTAAATAAATTACATTCAGCCAAAGTCTCCCAGTAACTTACTTTTACAATTTAAGTCTTGACAATCATGCATGTACTAGGTGCAACATCAACAACTGACACGTCATCCAAAAATGAGAAACTAAAAAATAATATCGGGTTAAAGCGCCATATATTTGATAAGTGATCAACTTATCATGGGTTTGACAATCAAAAAGATTTAGAGTCCTTGAGTGACGAGTCATTGAACACCATCTACCTACACAATAGTCGGTTTGAACTTGGTCGTATGAAGTGTAAAAAAAATTAGTATAACTCAATTATGTTTTTAACCTGATTAATATGGAGCATTGGGCCAATAAAGAATAAACTAATCATACTTACGTTATTGTACAACAAAAATGAAGAAATTACTAAAAGAAAAAGTTATTATTCGTTGAAGTTCTAGTGCTCGAACAAGTCCAGATGAAGACGTCGCCATCAACACTGGCCAACCAAAATGCATAGACATTGAGGTACAAAGTACATTGAAGCTTCCAGCATGATAAGATCTAAAAATATGAAAGCGGACTTTAGAACTCTATAGCAATTAACAAATCAAAGTGGTTGGGATTGGGTTGAAGAGCTATACATCCCAATTATGACTGAGGAGCTATGGGAGGAGATTAGTCAGGTAATCATATTTTTATTACAAATTCATATGCAATGATTAATCATGTGACTTACTAATAGGATATTTTTTTAATGAAAGGAAAATCCAAAGTTGGGTCATTTTTGCAAACCCTTTCCATCAATATGAAATATTTGAGATCTGCACTGAAAATATTGCACTTGGGACAAAAGCACATTCTACTAAGATAGTACGTACTACAATCAACTTAGAAGAGGGAGATCTTCCAAAAGTGTGGATTGAATATGTAGTAAATTGTCACCCATGTTTCCATGCATCTCCAATTTACATGTAGTAATTGAAATGGTTGTGCTTGTTTGGTACATTCTTGTATTTCATCATTTATTACCGTTCCATAGTTTAGTTCTTGTTACTTCATCAGTTGTATTTCAAGTTACTTTTTGTACATTGGAAACTTCATCATGATTTGGCCAAGTTTAGTGAATCACCTGTTTGTGATATTACTACATTCAGTTCCTTATTATGTAATACACTGTTGGTTTCTTTTTTATCTTGCAACATAATCTCACATCATTTTTGTTAACAATTATGTTTGTACAGTGTAATATTTCAGCATTATTTACTTTTTGTAATTCCAACAATATAAATTTTTGTCATCAATTAAACTTTATTTAGACTATTTAATCTCATTTAGTATTGCCGAATTATTTAGGCGAGGTACTTCTTGATGCACTTTATGGAATGGTTCATTTGCATTTACAAGAAAAGGAAGCAATTGTTAAATTAAATCCCTCAATTCTAGGAAGAGAATAGTTCCTCTAAAGACGAACTATAGATCAAAAGATCAATGTTTGATAGGTCATATACATGTCATTAATACATGGAGTATGTCTGTTTGGTCATCAAGACAAGCTTATCTGTGCTCTAAGTTATCACATGAGGCTTTTGTGCGTTTAAGGGACCTACTAGTCAACCGCGATTATTTGAGTGACATAAAAAATATGTTCACAAAAAAACAACTTAGCATATTTTACAAAGGCCAACACATGATCACATATATAAATAATTGTGTGAGTTCTTTCAACATTCGCTAGAAACTATGAGTAGGTACTTCAATCTGGACCTTTGGGTGGGAGGGCTCAGCTGCGGATATGCGTGTGCTCAGATGAGCAGTAGAGCAAAGACAATTTGGAGTACCTCAAGGTAGTTATTATTTGGTTGATTCTGGTTATTCCAATATTGATACACTTATTGCACTATTTCGAGTATATTGATATCACTTGAGTGATTCTCATGGAAGTACATCCACAAAATACATTATTCAGCACGAGTTATTTAATCATTATATGCATAATTATGCAACGTAATTGAGAGAACAATTGGAATTTAGAATGAACCATTTCAAGTATTAATTCATATGTGACAAATTCCTCTGAGTGTCAAGCTAAGATTTTTCTTGCAGGTGCGGTTTTGTATAACCTTATAGGTCGGTACCATGGACATGATCCCTATTTTAATATGCCGCAAACAAATATGCAACATTATACTCAATAAGACAGTTGAAATATTTGATAAGGATCCTAATATACATACAACAAAAGGAAAAAGAATTCAAGGGAAAGCGATAAGGCAAGACATCATCATTCATTTGTGAAATGCTTGAGCAAGAATTTAGATTTCCATAGAAAAAAAAACAATTTAAATTAGAATTTGTAATAATTTTATGATTTTTTGATTTCATGTAGAGTCAAAGAAATCTCTAATCGTGATGAAATTGCTCTGCGCTGCAAGATATATTATATGTCATCAAGCATATTAAACATTTCGTAGTCCAATACTAGTTGATTTGTCTCATCAATATTAATCGATTATGTACTCATTGTTGATTTTACAATTTCTATTATATGAATAGAAGTTGGATTTATTATGTTGTATGAACTTATCTTTAATTTATAGTTTACTTATTGATGTAATTCAAAGATGCAAAATTAATTTTTTTAGTTATTCTTTATGCGTTAGGAATATGTTCACATTTAAATCCTTAACCGGTATAAATCCTGAAATCTATTGTCAAACAATTTGTTAGGATTTAATAGGATTTAACATATATCATGCCAAACAATTTTCAAGATTTAACACCCACGGGATCTAGTAAATCCGGATTTACATGATTTCCTAAATCCTACTTGAGTTAAATTCTTCTTGTTGCCAAACAGCCCCTAAAATATAAGGAGAAGAAGCAGCAGAAATCTCAAAATAAGAATAAACCATGCTTTCCATAAATTATAAACCAAAAACCAAAAGTACTAAGCACAGCAATCAGATCGAAAGGTAAAGTAATTGGAAGAGAAGGCGCTCACTCCATTCCTGTGGGCTCTCGCAACGACCGCGGATGGCGAGAGGTACCCGTCACTGCACTTGGAATGGCAGTGAAACTCAAAGGCTACACGATCGCCCATAGAACGTTTCAGCTGAGGCGGTGGCAAGAATTCATTTGCATCCATGGTCCGTTGAGTAGACTCCCAGTCCTCGCGGAAGACCCACTCATGAATGTAACTGGAAGCGAGAAGTTGCTCCGGCGGAGGCTTCTTTCTTGTCTTTCCCCTTCCTTTCTTCTTGCCGCCGGCCATCGCCCCTTTCGGAAAAAGAAGAACAGTCTGGGAGAGTGAAAAATAAAACAAAGGTTGGTGGAAGAGGAAGATGTCGCCTTTCTCACGAATCCGCTCTACGGTACTGGAGCCTTCGATCTAACAAAGAACCGCTCAAGGTCAGCTAGGTCACAAGGTTCGAGAATTGAATAAACGCAAAGACTATAACTTTTTTAAAATATGATTTGATATATTATCAAGTTATATGTTTTAGTTATATAGTTGAGGGACTTTTGGCTGATAAAAAAGAAATATAGTATAAAAATAATATTGGGTAAAAAGAATACTTTAAAATTGTTTAGATGAGTGCAAATTAAATATAAGTGAATATTCTTCGTTTTTTTGGAATTAAGTGAAAGTAGTGTAAAGTTTCAAGATGGCGGTCCATGGTGGTGGTTGGCAACGAGTGAAGGCGGCCAACTGTGGTAGCTGACAACGGGTGGTGACGACAGGCGGCAGGTGGCAGTAGGCAGCTGTGGCAGCCTACAATCAGTGGTTGTCGACAGCCGGTGGTGGTTGGTGGAGGGTAGTGTCAATCGATGGTGGTGCGGTGGTGGGGACAATGGGCTGTATAAGTCAAGCATGCTTGCTTGTGATGTAAACGGTTCTCGCCCAAAATTGAGAAAGTTTACTTTACTTCAAAAGTGAACTAAAATTTTTTATACGTCTTGATTGGTGAAATTAAATAGAGGAATTTGAGACAACTTTTTTTAATTCTTTCGAAATCAACTTTCCAGTGAAAAAAAAATAACTAAAATTTTTGTAGAAAAAAATTGCTTTAAAAAATAATTAAAAAACTGTCTAAAAAAACTCTTTATAAAGATTGTCACTTTTTTAATTTATAATATAATTTTGATGAATCAAAATTAAAATATTTTCTGAATTAAATGATCAATGTCAATATGTTCTCCTCCAATAATAAATTCATAAGAGAAGATTTCAGTATTGCTAATCAGAATCGATCATATCCACACAATATTGCAATCAAACGTTGTAATGAACATTGATATAATATTTTTTTTTTTAAGCCTAGATCTTTTAAAGCAAGGAACCAATTTTCAGCTTTCCCACCAAAGTGATAACCTCAAATTAAATCTTCACCTTCCATTTTGTTGATCGATTCATCTCATTTCAATCAGAAAAAATCTTAACGCTCTTTAAACTCTTTCGCCACTCTACAAGCCTTTACTAATCGATTTATCTCTCATTGTTCATGTGACTAAGGGTGTCAAAATAGGTTTTATGATCAGGTTCGAGCCCAGCCCAAAAGTAAATTGCCATCAATTTATTCAACCCAAACATGACACGATTACCCAAACATGACACGATTAAAAATATAAGTAGAGTAGATGTCACTTACAACTATCATAATATTTTTTATAAAAGAAATTATGGCCGAAAAGACCTAAAAGCCTTCTTTCTCTTCTTTCTTTCCTTTCCTATCTCCCTTCTCTTCTCCTCCTTTTTCCCTTCCCTGGTAAGGAAATAAAAGGAGGGAGGGATGGCTTGTGTTAAGTGATATTTCTATTTAAATATATTAAAAACTCATTATAGTTCCTACCACTGTGATAGCCAAGTCCCAAAACCGCAACACTGAATATCGATCCCAATGTCATTTTAGAACAAATCCTTCAACATCACGGTGGCATTTCCTCGCACTGCAAGGCTCTCAACGCTCAGAGTTCTTAGTACCACAATGCTCTCGGCACCGCAACACTCTCAGTATCGTAGTCTTTCAGCACCGCTATACTCATAAAACATAGCAACATAGTATTATATGTAAAATTTTTATTTTTTTAAAATAAATATCATTTTATGAAATTCAGGGTCAGTACAATTCCAGTCAAAAATGTCTTAAAACCCTTCAAATTCCTTGATCTCTCTAAAAGCCCACCATGAAAAATTACTTGACTTCCTCAATTTAATTTCCCCGTTTGAAAGTTCAATAAATTCCTACAAAATCCTTTGCCCATCCGCTGCTTTGCCTACATGTATCTCACATCATCCATCTCTTCTGTTTCTTCTGCATCTTTGAGCTCCTCTTCCTCCAATCAAAACCGACTTCATCTTTAATGGTGATACTCATGTCTATATCACAAAAAGCTTGCGGAACATCCATGAGACCTACAACCACCTTTAATTATTTATTATAATTCTCTCCCTCACGCTAAAAAATTATAAAATAACAATGCCTACTCAGCCTTTGTTAAGAAGAATTTGTTAATAATTATTACTATTGGTCCCTTATTTCTAAAAAAAAAAAGTTCTAAATGTTGATTCTTTATTCTTTTCTTATTGAACACTTGATGCATGAAGGAAATTGAACATGTCCAACTACTAGCAAATTTGATAATCTCAGTTGTATAATTTTCTCAAAATTCTTTCATAATTAGTTCATTACTTTTCGGGTGAAACTTCCCATAACTCTTTAATGACCTTCTAAATGGATGATAAAGGGCATCATCTTCATCATCGTCATCATTGTCCTAAGTTTAGTATTAGTATATTATATCACATATTGTTGTATTTTGGATCTTTATATTTTTGGATATTTCTGTCATGATGTTATATTTTTTGGGCCAATATGTATTAGATGTTTAAGGTTTAGGGTTATTTTGATGTTATGTTGGACATTTCTTATAATATGGCTCATGACGGATGTTTATGTTATTTAGGATGGTGGTAATTATGATGATGATGATAAATATAGTAATTGTGGTAGATATGTTAATAGTGGTAGGCATAAAAATGATGGTAGATGTTAATGGTGGCATGTATAAAATTAATGATTATATGTTGAAGACTTTGTTTGAGATAGTTTTCTTTTTGCTTTTTAAAACAATTTTTTTGTACACAAATTTATTAAAAGCAACAAAAAAATAGTGGCCTAAAGCTATCTCAAACGAAGCCTAAATTTAGAGGTAAGTTTAAGTATTTTAGTATTTTCCTTTCATTTTGTTAAATAGGGGGCCTTGGTAATGTTAAGTAATTAATTTTATTAACTAAAAAAAACTTATTGAGCTATTTTACTCTTATATTTTTCTACTCCCTAGTAGATAAAAACTACTTGAGAGTATGAGAAAAACTTATAAGGAACGAGAACCTCATGATAATGAATTATTCGTTTATGTTAACTTCAACTTATCCTTTCTTTGCAACCACTACGCGAAAACACGGGATTACCGTCGGAGCTTCCGGTGGATTAACATCCGTCGGTAATCACGGCGTTGTTACCGGCGTAATGTACGCCAGAATAATAACGGCATTTTTTTTAGCGTATGCGTCACCGGAAATATTCCGACGCTGTATACGCCAGTTTTGACGTCGGAATTTACAAGCATATCAACCGAAGCGGTGTAATTTATGTCGGAAAGGCCGACGATGAAAGCCCTATTTCTAAACCAGAGACCGTCTGGCTATTCATTTCCTTCTGCTGTCTGTTCGAAATTTCCGCTCAGCTTTGTCGCCCAAGCGTCGCCCCACCGTAGATCGATGCTGCCAAGGCTTCCGGACTTGCACGAGAGGTCGCCGACAATCACCGCCTCCATCGTCGGCGAAAGGAAAAAGTTTTCGGGAAAATCCACTGTGAGTTTCGAAATTTTTCGTTGATTTTCTTAATGCAAATTTTCATAGAATGATAAGGAGTTTTATTTTAAAGGTTGGAGTAGATCCGCCAGTGTGAAGACTGCTCAACCTAGTTTTTCGAAGTTCACCACCTCAGTCGTCGATTTCATTCATTCTAAGATTTTACTTATTGTAAATTTTTATTAGACATTTGCAAGAGGATGTGCCTTGGTGTTTGCTTTTGATTATGATATTGTTCATGTTGATAAACATAGAGTGAGAGGGAGAGAGCATGTTTTTGAGATCGAAGAAGAAGGGGAGAGAGAGAGAGTGAGAGCCAAAGAGTTTTTAGTATCATTTAAAGGTATTGAGATTGTAATAGTTTCCTATATTACAATTTGAAAATTGTTTGGTCGTTCAAATTATGGTTTGAACCTTTTAAGTGTGTTTCGGCTTTTGCTGGTGTGGAGATCTGTGTTGTGGAACTATTATCTGTATATATTTGCAGGTGTGGAAATCTGAATGCTGGCTGGGAAGGATTTTTTTTTTTGTTTTTGCTACAGGTTTTCGGAGAAATTTACATCGGTAGTTCGCCGGAAACGACGATACAACAAATTATTTGGTTTTTTCCGGCGACCTATAGCCGCCGGTATTTTCGGCGGATAAAGCGACGGTACTAATTAGAAGCTTTTGTTACGGTGAACGTTTCGACGTTTTGTCCGCCGGTATTTCTACCGATGGATAAGTACGCCGCAAATTTCGGCGTATGTAATGCCAGAATAATGTAACAGGAAATGACGTTATTTCTGCACAATTTTTCGCTGGTAATGCGCCGGAGAGTACGTCGAAATGGTTTCCAGCATAATATTTACTTCGAAAAGCTTTTTCCGACGCGCTCAAAACTGGCGCATGAAAATTCGTTGGAAATGCTACGGAATGGCAACTTTTCGTCGTATTTTCCATGTTACCGGCGGATTTGGTCCGCCGGTATTACCGGGTTTTCCTATAGTGAACTAGTTATGTTATATCTATCATGGGTTAGATCACTCATATATTTGTTAGCCACTTGTACATGTGGCTCCCTTCAGTTAGCTCACACATATACCATTCTTGCTTCTCTTTGTACCTTATAGTTTCCTCTCTCTATTTATATCTCTTTGTATCATGTGAATAAGACAAGAAGTAATACAAAAGTTTTTTATGGATTTCACGAAAGCTTTCTTCCATCTTTCTACATGGTATCAAGAATCTTGATCCTACCCTCTTT